TAGAACAAATATATGGGACAAATATAAAGACCAATTCACTAAATCTTGGAAAAGATATCTAGATGATTGCTTCATCTTTTGGAAATCATCATGGGGTGATATTAACCAATTCCATACACTACTTCAAAACTTACACCCAAAAATCAAATTCACGCAAGAATATAATTTTAACGAATTACCATTTTTGATATACTCATTAGAAATAAAAAACAACCACATAATCACAGATATCTACCACAAACCCACAGACACAACAATACGTTCATTTCAAGAGCCATCACCCAAAAAGCTGCCTAAAAATCCATCCCTATTCCCCAGCACGTAGAATTTGTACAATAGTGACTGATAAACATCTCCGAAAATCCGCTTAGAAGAACTACATAAAACTCTCAAGAAACGAGGCTACCCCACAACACTAATAAACAAAGGTATTGAACTCGCGAAAGAAATTCCTCTAGACCAACTTAGAAATAAAAAGAAACGTAACGTCGAACAAACTCTAGCATATGTCTCAACGTACAACAAAAACAACCCAGAAATATTCCCAGAAATCACAAAAATCTAGATTTACTTAGCAAGAATAATAAACTGAATAATATACTAAAACAACCAAAATAATTAAGAGCAAACGCCAATCTAGAAACCTAAAACACATATTAACCTCATCTAAATTTAGTCAACACAAAATACAGGAGTCACAAATGCAACAAAAAAAGATGTGGAGTTTGTGACATCATTATAGAAGGAAACTCCTACACTTTTGAAAACCCAAAAAACATTCACAATAAACAAAAACTTAAACTGCAACTCCAAAAATGTAGTTTATGCACTTAAATGCACAAAATGTAAGAAGTCATATATAGGCATCAGCCAACAACTGAACAACAGGGTCTCCCTACACAAAAAGCAATATAAAATTGACAGACAACAGAAAACTTTTTGTATCACAACACATTTTCAAATGTAACCAGGGTAAGTTTAATATCATGCCGATATATCAAACAGACAATTACTCGTATCTACAAATACAGGAAAAAAACTTTATAGACAAATTCAAACCCGAACTGAATAGATCGTAACCCCCCCCCCCAAAAAAAAAAAAAAAACATGCACACAGGGTGACCAAATACAATGATCGCTCACATACATGGACGCACACTCATATACGGGAGACACGAGGAGATATATATATGTGTATGTACACATACATACATTTATGTATGTATATGCGGATGTTGACAACTTAAGAAGTACGTGTGTGTGTGCGTGTGTCGTGTGTGTGTGTGTGTGTGTGTGTGTGTGTGTACTGGTTCCATGTAGCTTGGGATATGTGTGTATATGTGTGTGTGTGTACTGACTACTTGTGGTGGGATAGTGTGTATGTGCGTATGTGTGTGTATGCGTGTATAAAAGTACAAATAAGTTTACGAATTCCTCGTAGTAAGGAAATATACGCACGCATATATACACGTATGCTGACAGGAACACGCCAAAATAGAAACAGATCCAAGAGCACATAGAGGTCACTAAAACATTAAAAGATTAAATGCCGATAACTACTCGCTGGACAAACCTTAATTGTTTTTATGACCCTTCACGCAGAACTCTTCATTGACAATTCTAGAAAGAAAATTCGGATTGCCAACACACAAAACAGAATGTCTCATATCGAGAATATTCCACATTGAACATGAAGAAAAAATTAATTATTTTTTAATAATATGTAAAAATCTCCACTTTCACCTGAAGACGGTTGCGAGACCAGACCAGAAACACGTGTCGTAAAAATTATAAAACAAAAGCGTATTTTTCTCAATAAATCCACATTACAACCAAAAACGTTTGCGGCACCCTCTTCTTTTTAATATACATACTTTTCTCTCATTGGAACCACTACAACATATTTCTTTTATATATATATATATATATATATATATATAAATCGAATTCACTTGAAGCAAGTCAGTAAAGTCACTAAGACTCTTAAAAGAATTAGAAAACAAAAACATTACTAGGGATTGAGAACAATAGGAGGGTAATCAAGAAGGCAGTAGATAACGATTGACATTGCATTTAAATTTTCGAAGATCAAAGCAGACTGAAAAGCATGAAGATCGAAGAGAGTTTCAAAAACCAGAGGTGAGAGAAAAGAAACTGTTAACAAAGAACATATGGTTATATCCCACCAATTCACCGAGAGGTCAACAGTCAGTCTATTTCGTGCTTAAAGGAAATGTTCAGGCTTAAAAAGCAAAGGTTTTTTTTTTCGAAACAGACTATCACCGCTGAATGTTGACCCCAATGCCCACTTTTATATTTACATACGCTCTATCTCTAATATTAAGCACTTTAACTCATACATATAGCATACCTTAAAAACCATAAATATATATATATATATATATATATATATATATATATATATATATAAAAGGTGCGATGGATAAATTATCGTCTAAATTACGCAGAAATAAAAATGACACTACCACCTCAATTAACAGATATATCTACTAAAATTGCACAAAAATATTTTGAAATACTAAAGAGTTAATTTATTCAATAAAATTGCCATTGCCTTCAATCACAGCCTCAAGACAACTTCGCAATCTCTTGCGCTTCACGCATAATAATCGAAGGGGTTGCAGTCTGGGGAGTTAGTCGGCCAGATATAAGGGGTAATGTGGTAGCAGAAATTCTCTGGCAGCCATGATTTGGTTCTCCTGCTTGTGTGGCATTGTTCAGTATCCTGTTGCCAAACATAGGATCTCCCTCCTGAAGGCTCTTGATGTAGGTCTCCGTGTTGACCTGAGACTCCAAACACCATGATGTTGACTGCATATATCATCCAACTCTTTCCGAATCCTCTGAAATGTCCTCGGATTGACACCCAAACAAACTGAAATTTTTGTATTGAAGCTTCCGCCGAGAATGCCAAGCAGTACAGTATGCCGTTTCCAAATTTCTGGTCGTATGAATTCCGTCATACTGCTCTTTTTCTCGCAAATGGCGCCCAATTGACCCTACTATACTGTGCAGACGGCAAAATAAATAAAAAATAACGCGCATGCGCGAAATCAGAAATATAAAATGTCGACAATTTACCCATCGCACCCGTATATCGCGATGCTAAATGTTATATATTTGTAAGTATAGCTAATTTTGGGGTCATGATATTTTACTGAAAACACATAATGCATAGTGTTTGTTTTAATTAAATTCTTTAAAAAAAAAATAGGTTAATTAAATGCCATGAGTTTAGTAAGAAATAGGTTTGATATTTGTTCTGAGTGAATAATATAAAAGAATTATAAAATAATTAAAATAACTAAATAAGCAAGTAAGTAATCGGTAATATTTAATATTTCGACGGTTTATGTATAATATTCCATATTATATGACCGTTAAGAAATTTGCTTATTAATATTTTTTATAAAAATATTTTTATAATGGCGAAATTATACTTAAAAAAAATCAAAAATTTTAAACTGATTAATGCAGTTCTTTTAAATATTTACACACTATTAACGGATTTTTACATTACACAAATTTCTAATTTGTTTGCAATCTTTGTTTAGCATTTGTTGTTTAGAGTAAAAATATCGTATCTGGTAATAAATCAATAGATTTATCTGACTCTGATCAGCATCGTGTACGCGAATCTTTGAAGTCGGTAGAAAGATCACCTTTATTTTTATTAATTATATATGTGCGTGTGTGTGAATGTCTGTGTCTTTTGCGATATATATATATATATATATATATATATATATATATATATATATATAAAAAATTTTGAAAAAAAACTAAACACATTTCTACTTATGTTAATACTTGTTGCAAAAATAAAATCCTTACATTTTTCTTCAAAAATGCATCAGAGCACGAAACATATATATATATATATATATATATATGTGTGTGTGTGTGTGTGTGTGTGTTTGTGTATTTGTGTATGTGTGTGTATATGTCTGTATGTGTATCTATATATGTCTGTGTGTATGTGTATATATATATATATATGTGTGTGTGTGTGTGTGTGTGTCTGCGTAGATAGATAGATAGATAGATAGATAGATAGATAGATAGATAGATAGATTATTCGCAATAAAATGAAACATTTTACTACTGTACATATGTACAAAGGCTTTTCCTACTTGAGCAAAATCCTACATCGAAACCCTAACCCAATGTCATCTCTAAACTCATATTTTTTTATCAGCCTACACATCTATACTGACTTTAAAAAAATCCATGGCAGGTTTTCCCTTGCCAAGTCCGGTACCCGGGGGGACTGGTCTAGTGGCCATCACATCCGATTTATTTGGTATCTGAGATGACGGACCCCACCCTCTCGTCTATTACGTACTGTGTTCTTTTCTTTACGCTTCGAGCAAGACGAGCTATAATAAGAAGCAGGCGTTGTTTGGATGGTCATTCGATATTTTCACGACAGATGATATGGTTAGGAGAAAAAATGTCAAAATACAGAATCAATGATTCAGCGTTTTTAGTAACCCTCATTTAATCTGACTATACGTTCTAAGGGAATAAGTCGTGGCATCGTCCTGGGTGGTGATTAAAGAGCTATATTTCCATCTTAAGACAAAAATTGCCGTCGAAGATTAAATAGTCTTATATTTCTTTTTAAAACCATTCTTATCTTATCGTGCCGAAGATTATTTAGTCTTATCCCAACACCCCATATCCCTGCGTTGGCATAAATGTTTTAATGTCTATTAACATTTTCTCTGGGGGTTTTTTCTATGGATTATCAACCATTTGAACATTATTTAAAGCCAGAAAATATTTTTTTAAAGATAATAATGATTTGGTGATACAAGTCTTACTAATTAACCCATAGCAGCGAGAAAAAGATGAATTCCTACATTTCCCAAGGGTATCGACGCAAAAGTGGACCTAACGAACTCAAGTGGAATGCGAACTCTGCTCTCTGATTAACAATTCAGTGTCGTTATCCATTACTCCAACTCACACCCAAGCTTGCAGCACCTGGTATTCTCAAGAAGTCACCTATTTAGGTACTGACAAGGCTTGATGTTGCTTAACTTCGGATATCGTACAGTAACAGGTGTTTCAACGTGATCTGGTTGTGAGCCTGTCTATTGACTGTTGGAGAATTCATATTTCATAATTTCTTGAATTCTCAGATTAATCATGACTAGCAGTGCTGTAAGTATTTTTATCACTAGATTTCGACCGGTACGTTCTCTAGTCTTTTTGTGGTGTTTCCTCGAACACTCCGGACGAAGAACCCTAATTAATCCGCGATTTTCACTCGCATCTACATTAATATCAACATCTCGTTTTCCAGTAAAACGTTTCGGCTTGTTTGTCTTCCTGCTTTCCTCGTGTTGTTCAAAGTTCTGGGGTAAATTATTGCCATGCTCGAATTGGGTGTGCTCATAGCTTAGCGGGTATCTTCATGAAAATTGGGATCGACGCAAGTTCAAATTCAGGCCGTGGTCGTTGCGTTCAATTAACTAACATTAATTACATTTACCGGCCTGAATGTTCCAGAAATTCCGTAGAAAATATGAGCTCTCCGACAGGAATCGAACCTGTAACCCTAATGGGAACCTTCATTTTATTTGACGTGCTTCTCTGTGGCTGAATGGTTAACAGAACATCAATATTTATTTAGATTCCTTGAGGTTTCTCCTATGTATTTTTTCTGACAATTATTACAGGTGATGGGTGAAACTCTTCCTTAAGGTTTTAGCTTATTGTTTTGCTTAGTATTGATTAAGATTTTTATTGTTTTGGATGTACTAGTAAGGACCTTTATGTTGAGTTTAGATAGATTCTTTTCGATTGAAGATATGATAAAATTAGTAGGCAGGATAATGTATTTTTTTGATTCATTGAGTTTCTCAGATGGGGCCGTCTTCCTTTCTTTCAAATAACCATGGAAATGTATGAATCAACCATTATACTGAGGTTGGCCCAGTACTAGGCTCGAGAACTGCTCAAGGTAGAGGGGTAAAATAGTAATGATGAATGAAGTGTGTGATTGGAATGAAAAAGAAGGTGGTGAAAAGTGAATATTCTGAGAATAAGTAGAATAGATGACGAATGACCTTGACTTGAGCGTCACGTGAATTAATCTGGCAATCACGTGACATTTCAATGCTTGATAGTAATTTCGTCCGTATGATAAGAGGTTCCAATGCATCAGCTGCCGGAAATTCGATGGTACAGCTGAATTTGAATGGGAGAGAGACCAATCGCGTAACCCGAGAAGCTGCTCACTAAGCACTGTCATTTTTCCACACAAGGAAAGCACTACGTCCTTAGTAAAGACACACACACATTCGCACGCACATACACACTCAAAGAAACTGGTTAACTTTACTTTCCTTACAAGTACGCTTTCTTTCCCTCGAAAAGCTATTTTGAAAATAACGACTTTCCAATGGATGCCGGAAAAAAAAGAGTTCCAGCATTTTCATATGTCCTGTCGGTGTTTTTATTCTAGACAGAGTAAAGAAAAATTTCAAAGACGATGTCTCCATACCGGCAGAAATTACTCACCTTGGGAAAAACACCTCTCTTACAATACACACCGTATCCAGAATTTCTGAAATATCTCCAGACGACCTATACATCGCCAACTCGAATTCATCCGAATGGATCGTCATGAGCCAGTTTACAGAAAGAACAGTATATGCACGAGTTCATTTCGATAAGAGGATTCGCAGATTCATCCTCTCTTATCCCTTGCCTAATCAAGCAGAGGAGTAGATAGGCTCACCTATCGCCCAGTTCACACTCCACCCTGATCTTTTGATCAGTAGAGGTTTATCCTATCCCTTGTTTCCTGCTTTGGATTGGGTTTCCTGTTCCTTCTAGTCTTCTTCAACTATATACTTCTAACGTCTCCGCCTGAACTCAATAGGTGTAGATAGGTTTGCTTATTGTCCAATTTACACTCCATCCCGTGTTTTTAAAACAGGAGTATAGGTTTATCCCTTGTTTCCCGTTTAAAATTGACTTTCCCGTTTCTTCTAAAGTAGGTGCCACTACAAAAAAACAGGATACCAAAGGTATAAAATGAACTTTTAAAAATTAAAAACTTTTCTTGAAGCTTTTATTTTAGTTTTAATTTCAAGCTAATAGATTAAATTTAATATTTCCAATAAGCAAAATACTTTGCTGTATTTCAAAACTAATTTAGATTGACTGGAAGGAGTTGTTTTTTTTTGGGGGGTTAGCGCCCTTTTTTCGTCTTTCATCGCAAGGTAATTCTCTTTATAAAAAAATCTTCCAAAAATACAAAATATACTTATCTGAAACTTTATTTGAGACATATTAGCTGATTTAAGGAATAATTAATCTGATTTGAAACAAATATTATTTACTTTCAGTTTACAATATCGCAGAAATACACTTTTTAACACAGTGGTAGATGTTTAATTAAGCTCGTATCGAGACAGTGTCTGGGCTTGATGAAATCTGGGGCAATCACGGATGACGCAATATTTTTCAGGGCCAAATATATTTCATCATGCACCCCGAAAATAGATTCATATTACTGCACACCACTGCAAATGACCTAATGTGAAAAAAAATAAATAGAAATCGATTATATCCTGTAACTCGAGTGGGTCTAAAACGAAAGAAAACTAAAGCAGTTGTTTCAATTAATTTGCACAAGGTTGTATGCTTTCCCGATGAATGCATGTCTATAAAGCTTAATTTATACATTAAACAAAATATGTTAGCAAATTTTTATTGCCCTATCCTTTCAAGAAGTAAACGATCGTGGCTCCCTGGGTTTATATATATATATATATATATATATATATATATATATATATATATATATATATTGATTCTTAAGTGATATTTAATCCATAGCTGGAAGGCAAAGAAGTAGATTATTGTCTTTCCCAAGAAAATTTGTGTGGAAATGAGCGTAACAGATTAGGCAAGAATTTTCACAAGACACACCAATTCCGCTTCCAGAGCCAGTAACCGTCGCGGTGTCTACATGTCTCATTACTGACCAAAATACCATCATCTTGGATTGACAAGAATTATATAAACTCTCTCAGGAAAAGATGTATAAAACAAAAAATATATAATATATATATATATATATATATATATATATATATATATATATATATAAAATAAAAAATATATTCAAAATTAATTGATAAACAAAGATTTCATAAATAACCTCACACATTGACCCTAATGAAAAGAGCTAGGAATGACCAGTACCCTCCTTTTCACTGTCTGTACCAACAAAATCTTCCCCCATATATATAGTCATCCACAGACAGAGCGTTTCGCTGTTTCACGGCACTTCTATATGGCTAGATGTCCGATTGCTGCAAGCCGAAATCGAAACTCGACCGATTTAACATCAGTCTGAGATCCTAACCACGGCAGAGAGAACGGGAAATTTTAACATCTGTCTATATTTCTGACATGAGATATTATGTACATTATTTACATTGCTCGGACTATCATCCTCATCTTTGTTGCCATATTCATCACAACGTTTCGGCCGTTATACGCTTCTTCAGGTGGTTGGAATGTCAAACTGAACCCTTTATTACGCTCGCTGGGGATAGACTGTTCCAGTTCCACTGTGTCATGTTTCCTCAAGAACACATGGCAGAGTGGATAAAGGCGTTAGTTAGATCCAGTAACAGAACCCAAAGAGTGTGAGTTCAATACCTGCTTAAGGCGGTGGAGAACTTGGAGAGGGGAATTAACAGGAGATAACTAATAACAGACATCCATTAGACATGGCACGTGGAACTAGAGTAGTCTACCCCAGCGAGCGAAATAAAGGGTTCAGTTCGACATTCCAATTGCCTGAAAAAGGCCGGAGCGTACAACGGCCGAAACGTTATGATAAATATGGTAACAAAGATGAGGATGATAGTCCGAGTAATGTAAATAATGGAAATTTTAAATTTTTCCATAAGAAATACGCTATTAGCCAGGAGGAGCTCAATTCATACTTGAAGGGCAATGCATTAATAGCAGAGCAACAGCAATAACTATTTTTTAAAATAACCTTTTCTCTAGAGAGTTCTATCGGGCCTCCGAGCGTATATATATATATATATTATTATATATATATATATTTTATTTTATAGATACATTTTATTATGTTTTAACGTTGTTATTTTATAGATACAAAATTTAAGCAAATGCTCTGTTCTTTGATTAACAATTTAAATAACATAACCGGCCTATATTTATGTTTTTCATTAAAATATTCGTTCTCCAATTTCCAATGTCTTTTAAACCGTCATATATAAATTGTCGGACCTTGTCCATTTTTAATATATGACGTCATTTGTTTACATTCGATAATGCCAGAGCAGATATGAATTCATAACGAGATTCATGGAAAATTGAGAGTTTATAAGCAAAATTCGACCTTGTCTACCGAACGCTTCTTTATTAACGGTAAGGCACGTCAGCGTATATGACGGTTCCGTATAGGATGCAGGTTCGAATCCTCAATAAAGAACGAATATTTTCTATGAAATTCAGGCCGGTAAATGTTATTTAATACTGTTTATCATAAACAGAGCATTTGCTTAAATACTTGTATCTATAAATAACAACGTTAAACATAATAAAATGTCTTTAATAAATAAATTGTCGGACCTTGTCCATTTCTTAATATATGACGTCATTTGTTTACATTCGATACGCCAGAGCAGTTATGAATGTACGAGATTCATGGAAAATTGAGTTTATAAGCAGTAAATTCGACCTTGTCTACCGAACGCTTCTTTGTAGCTTAACGGTAAGGCACGTCAGCGTATATGACGGTTCCGTATAGGATGCAGGTTCGAATCCTGTCAAAGAACGAATATTTTCTATGAAAATTTCTCGGACATTCAGGCCGGTAAATGTTATTTAATACTGTTTATCATAAACAGAGCATTTGCTTAAATACTTGTATCTATAAAATAACAACGTTAAACATAATAAAATGTCTTTAATAAATAAATTGTCGGACCTTGTCCATTTCTTAATATATGACGTCATTTGTTTACATTCGATACGCCAGAGCAGTTATGAATGTACGAGATTCATGGAAAATTGGA